GCTCTCTAAAAAATAAATAAAATCTTTAAAATAAATAAATAAATAAATAAAAAATAAAAGCCTGAATGCTTTCCATAAGAAAATCATTCAGTATAAGATATACAGTGACCGCAAACAGGAAATTTATCATCTAGCAATTTGTATATGTATTTGGTTTCCTTATATGTGTTAAAAAACAAAATTCAACTGAGTAGATTTGAAGATCTAATTAAGCTTTATTAAACAATTAATGAAAGGGGCGGTATCCCATCTAGCAAGTAGAGGGGAGCTCTAAGGAGTGGTACTAAATGGAAGGTTTTTATAGGAAGGAAGGTGGGGCAAGAAAATTCTTAGCAAAAGAAATGTTCCAGGCAAGGTCACTTTCCCTTAGGGAAAAAGCAGGGGGTCTAATCATTCAGATTACCTCATCTTCCTTTGGGGAATGGAGAAGGCCCATGTGACAGATTACCTCATTGGTACTGATCAGAGAATTCCTGACTGACTGCTTAAGTCATTTCTGGGGGAGATCAATATAATGTATATAGATAACATATTTAGTAAAATTGTCAATGAGTTTTTTTCAGTGCTATGGTGAATAGTTTTTCAGGAATTTAGATAGATGTGAATCAGATATTACAGTACTATCTGATTATCAGATAAATTTTAAATTTTTGGGAAAAAAACCTAAAGGCAAATTAGTGATATGGTGCTAAATGTCTTTTAAGTACAATGTTGTTATTGCAAAGTTGTTTTACCTTAGAATTGTCCTATGGCTTTTTAATCACTTTTTATGAAAAAGACGTTTCCTTCCCCTTTGTTAAAAAGTAAGATTTATTTAAACTCAGTGTTCTAGAAACTGGAAAGAATTTTGTTTCTGGCTGGTGCAACACATGATACAGAGTTGCTCGTTTTTGTTTGTTTGTTTTTCTCATTAGAAAAGTATTTAGATATTTCTTAGTTAAAAAAAAAATCCCCCCCCCACTTTGTTGGGATAAATTTGCCAAATCCACATTTCTAATGAAATTTACCTCTTTGCTTCCCTGAAGCAAGAATACTGGAAATTCGTCTCTCTGAACTTAATAGCTTAAAGCTAATGCAAAAGGAAAAATTACAACCAAGAGGCTAGAGTCTGTCTAGTCTCTGGGTTTGATCCATGCTTAAAAATCAGCTCCTGTCCACAGGCATTATTCTACTTCTGAAGTCTTGTTTGCTTCTCCTTGCAGAATGGACTCAATGCTCTCCACCTGGCTGCCAAGGAGGGCCACGTGGGCCTGGTTCAGGAGCTACTGGGAAGAGGGTCCTCTGTGGATTCTGCCACTAAGGTAATATTCATGCTGGGAGAATTTATTTGGAACAGAGGAAATGATTTAAAGTTGCAGAGATTTGCTGGGACACCAAGATTCTTCACAATGCAGAACTGAAATTGAAACTGTTATTACTGAACTTTGCAGAGTTGGAATTGGTTCATTTAGGGATTTATCAAACATGAGACTAAAGAATTCTATGCACCTGGTTTCTAATATTATTTCTTTTTTCTTTGGTTCCCAGAGAGAGTAGCTTGATATAATCCTCTGTAGACAGTAGCATCTATTTTCCTAAGGTTAATTCATTTAAAAAAAGTAAATTGATGCAGTAAACTTCTCAGTGGAAATGGACAAGTAATTTTCATGCTTTAATTAAGTTGTTGGATCTTTTAGTATATTCGTTTAACTTGTTAAGAGAATATACAGAATCTTTTATACTGTAATGGAAAAGAGATTTTGGATCATGGGTTGAATAATTGGGAAAATTAGATTTTGTCACTATAATGTGTGTATGTAGAGAAACTGGACTCATTTTTAAGGAACTGTTCAAGATGTTTGATATACTAGAAGCTGGTGTTTTTTGGTTGGTACTTGTTTTACTAAAATATATTTGAACCTTGTCTTTGGGGAATCATTTCAGAAACGAGATATTTTTTAAAAATATCATCAGTGGTGACAAATCTTTGGCTTTAGAAGGTAAAGTTTTAATTTGGAGAAAAACAGTAGCCAGTCAGAATCAAGCCTGCTGACCAGAGCTGGAGTGTGACAATATGGTTGTGAGAAATGCAGAGATGCTGCAGGCCCTCAAGCCTCCATCTGGGGCATTATTCTGATCAGGGATAGAGAAAAAGAGTGAATAAATGAGGAATATGGCCAGTTAACCTGGATTTCTAACACCTCATGCAGGCATAGTTGCCAAAATGTAGACTGGCCCTGCTCACAATAGACAGCGATTCTAGTGGAAATTTAAAAACAAAAACAAAAGCTCTCTGGCAATTCCAAAGAAAAGTTAAAATACAAATTTACCATAGGCAATAAATTGTCACACACACGCACATGCACGCAAATCCCAAATTTGATTCAATAAGAACTGAGTCTTTCTTCTTAAACACCTCACCAGAATTGTGAAGGCTAGAAAAGGAAAACACTGTTATGGGAGGCTCAGTGTTTTGATGGCAGACCATTATCCCTTCCCAAGGTGGGCTACTATCTTGATAGAATGACAGACTTTAACCAATTGAACTAATCAGCAAAATTTAAAGTGCCTGTACATTTGATTTCTATAAAATTTGGAAACCTCTAACATTTTCTATTCTGTTTCTCCAAAACAGAAGGGAAACACTGCTCTTCACATTGCATCTTTGGCAGGACAAGCAGAAGTTGTCAAAGTTCTTGTTAAGGAAGGAGCCAATATTAATGCCCAGTCTCAGGTATTACATTCAGGTTTTCTCTTGTGCAAATGAATTCAAATTAGAACAGCTTTGTGAAACTGATTTAATGGGTTGAGCCAGCTGTTGGGTAGATAGATTTACTATAAATACTTCTGTTATTTATTTCAGCCAATTATTTTATTAACTCATGCAACGGTATTTCTTACTTCTTTGATGTATCATGATCTCCCTCTTAATATAACTGAAAATTTGACAACGGTGGTCTCTCATTTGCTCTAAGTGCATTAAAAAAGAATATAAAGTGGTTTTTTTCCACAATGACAGTGACATCTGTGAAATATGAATTATTCATGCAGGTTCTATGTTGCGCTATAAAAGTATTTTCTCTCCTTAAATTTTAAACATTCTCAGAAGATTAGCATTCCAGTAGGAAATCTGCTGTGAAGTGGGAATCACACTAATTACCTCACACCCCAAATACAGACTCTAAAAAACTCCTGAAGGAGCCAGGAAAATTCGTGACCCACAGCCTTATGATGCATGTAATAACAATAAACTGGATCCTTATTTCCTGAGTGAAAAAATATTGCTTTGCCCAAAGCTTTACTCTTGATATCTATTCCATATCTATGTAGACACTGAGGTGTATATCTTTATGATTTCATTTCTTCTCTCTCTTTTTTTAAAGTCTTTAGCCTTTCTGAGATCACAGGCCATGCCACAGGGGCTATTGGCAAAATAAACCAGTTCCTCTCTATTTTCTGGGATGATCTCACCAGCTTGCTTTTGAAGGCCTTTGTGTAGGAATGTCTCTACCTATTTATAAAGTTCGTTCATTGATCACGTAGACATGGTTCTAGAGGTATAAATGGCACAAGTCCTGGACTCATAAAACACTACAGGGCAGGGCGCCTGGGTGGCTCAGATGGTTAAACGTCTGCCTTCGGCTCAGGTCATGATCTCAGGGTCCTGGGATCGAGTCCCACATCAGGCTCCCTGCTCCTTGGGAGCCTGCTTCTCCCTCTGCCTTTCTCTCTCGCTCTGTCTCTCACAAATAAATAAATAAAATCTTTAAAAAACAAAACAAAACACTACAGGGCAAAAGTTCGAATCAGCCCTATTTTCTTTGACTTTGATTATAGGGAAGAACCTGTTGAAATCATGACAGGACATTATTTTTATTTCTGTAATAGCATACTATTTAAAATAACCACATTTTTCTTTTAAAACCCAAATTACACCTCTATTTTAACCTTTGTTAAAAATATGCCATATTCTAAAAACTTCACTAAATGAACAATTTTTGTTTTAAAGAGTTATTTATTTGAGAGACGAAAAGAGTGAGAGAGAGCGCGTGCGCAAGAGAGAGGGGAGGGGCGGAGGTAGAGGGAGAAGCAGACTCCCCGCTGAGCAGGGAGCCTAACTCAGGATCATGCCCTGAGCTGAAGGTAGACGCTTAACCAACTGAGCCACCAAGGTGCCCCTAAATGAAAAAAATTTGTACAATTGGTACCATCTGTAAAGAATTCCCATATATTCTATAAAGTATAATGGCATCCTGGGCTTAGAGACAGAGGACTTGCAAAAGATTTTACTGCTCTAAAGTAAGGGATTAAAACCTTTCCTTTAGAATAGCAAGAGAACATCTTTTTCCTCTAGAGCAAAGGTTCTCAAATTTTAGTGGCCTCATAATCACCTGCAGGGCTTGTTGAAACCCATGATTCTCGGCCCAACCTCAGAGTTTCTGATTCTGTTCTGGCATGGGACCTGAGAATTTTCATTTCTCCCAAGTGCTCACATAATGCTGACACTGCTGGTTCAGGAACACTTTGAGAACCCCTGCTTTAGAGAATGTAAGAGAAAACTGGGCATAAGGACATTGCAGTAAGATTCACTACCTATAGACCTAACCACCTGCGTAAATCAGGAGTTTGTGTACTGGGGCGCCTTGGTGGCTCAGTCGTTAAGCGTCTGCCTTCAGCTCAGGTCCTCGTCACAGGGTCCTGGGATCGAGCCCCATTCGGGCTCCCTGCTCAGCGGGAAGCCTGCTTCTTCCTCTCCCACTCCCCCTGCTTGTGTTCCCTCTCTCGCTGTGTCTCTGTCAAATAAATAAATAAAACCTTTAAAAAAAGAAAGTTTGTGTACTTAAGAAGCATGGAAACGAAAGCCTGGTCAAGTTCAATTGCCCATAGGTTTCTTTTAATGGAAAGTTCACCTGCTAACTGTTAGTGCTGTTAGTATCTATAAAAAGAGCTTAGTTACTTTTCTCAAAATGACTGGTTGAACATTGTGATTTCGTAAAAGTTGACAGGTAGCAAATACTGCAAGATAAATGCTTGTTAAAAGTTCTATCAGTCATTATACTGTGATTATTGGAAATTTATATGCTTTGGAGATTTTTCAAGGAGAACAAGCTAAAACCATTCAATTGGTAATTTGCTTTCAAGAGTCAATGAGCTCATTCTGTATAGTCATAATCATGCCAGTTTATATAACAGATCCTACAGGAAGATTTATATTGTCATTAAGAGATTAAAGTAATCTTTATTTGTATTGTAATTAGCTCAATTTAAGATTCATATATTGTAGGGAATCCTGACAAATAGCTTCAAACTGATTTTTATTTTGTGAGAAAGTTTTAGAGGGAGAAAAATTAATTAAAATTTAGGGTGTTTTTCTAAATGACTAAGTGATTTGATAAGCCCTATGACATTATTTACTATATTGAATTTAGGTGGCCTTCACTACCAATTAACAAAAAATATTGCTTAAAATATAATTTAATGATTGAAATTAAGATACAGGAATTTATATAAAACAGGTCGATTATTTTGTTCCTATGTGTGAACAAGTCTCAAAGGCATGGTTTCAAGGGCCATTGAAAGAGGTTATGAGTGCTTCATGCCTGATTCTCATTAGTCCTGTCTTGTTTAAGATACAGATTTCTTACATGGCGACAATGGACCTCAGGTGGATGGGTAGGACCATGCTCATGGTAGAATCAGAAAAGGGTCATAGGAATGCCAAATGCTCAAGATAAATTCTGAATTTTATACTCAAATTATCCTTCTATATCTTTCTAAGAACATAATGCAAGGCAAATTCAGGATAGTCTGTTATTATGGGAATGTTGATAGCTGCATAGTATTTTGCCTTTGACAAACTTCTGAGTTATTTGGAAATGGGCCACTAAGATTATTGAATTAAGAAGCTCGAAGGAATAAGTGTTCAGTAAACATTTATAGGGCTCATAGGTTATGGAGAGGTATACATCTGTGGATTTTTCTGCATTCTCTACCTAAAGTGTAAAATCCATGGGAGGCTTACCTTCACATAACACAGTGCCAATTTCAGTAGGCACACTCCTTAGCTCATGAAGAATTCCAGAATACCAGCAGAAGCAATTTAAGCATTTTAAGTAGAATTATGTGATCAGTAAAATAACCATCAACCAATGTTTAAGTTTCTATGCTCAGCAGTGGTGGCAGTATGGTCTCAACTGAGTCAGTTCTCAGTATGATTTTAAATACTGCTCAGACCATGTAGCTCTCTGGCTTGGTTCTTTGCTCTCCTGGATTTGGTGGCATGGAGATCTCATTAAGACCTCCATGAAAGCTGTTTTGGTGGAATAATGGGGCTGGAAGTCAAATTACAATGATTGCAGGAATGCTATTTGCATTGAGGATGGTTGCTTGCTTTCTGACAATCTCTACTCTCAGATAATCTTTACTAGGCATATTAACATCTTCTAAACCGTCCTACATAAGTAATGCTAGGATGCTTCCTAGCTATTTGTACTGGCATTTGTCACTTTTATACTCCATAAACCTATTAGACTCAGAGATACAACTTTAATTAATTAATTTATTTAAGATTTTACTTATTTATTTTGGGGAGAGAGAGAGAGACAAAACGTGCATGAGTGGGAGTGGCAGAGGGAGAGGGAGAGAACCTCAAGCAGGCTCTGTGCTGAGCATGGAGCCCAGTGTGGGGCTGGATCTCACGACGCTGAGATCATGACCTGAGCCGAAACCAAGAGTTGGACGTTTAACCAGCTGAGCCACCCAGATGCCCCACAGATACGACTTTTAAAAACATTGTTCAAATTATATATTATAAAAGAAACTTTGAAAAAAATTTTAAAAAGACTGTCAGAGTGATGATGAGTTCCTTTAAATTTTTATAGCACTTTTTGCCTGATGATATTTGCCTATCTCAGGTTTATTTTTTGTAATGTATATCTACAGTTTCTGCAAGGTGGTACATTTCTTGGGAGCAGATCATTTTTCTCACATTGCTTTATATTTTTAGGATTTGACGTAATTCCTTGCACATATATGGACTGGAGGCTAAACATATGCATGTATATTCTTCCTGTGTAAGAATAAGCTTCGTTGTGTATTCCAGTCATTCTTCACAGTAGATATTAATAATAGTACAATAAATAACATTGACTGCCAGGCACTATCTCCAGCACCTTGTGTACATTATCTTGATCTTCATTTACTCTGTCATTATCAATGACAGACTGAGACAAAGATAATTCATTTACTTGCTCACAATCTTCATCCCTGGACAAAGCTGCTTTTCATAGCTCCTATAACAGTTGTACGTTCACTATAGACCCCATAGAACAGTTTTTATAATTCCTTTTTCTTCTGGCCTAAACCCTATTAAGGTCCAAGTAAGCAGATTTTCCTGAAGTAGCATCCATGTGGAAGGTTTAAGGTGAAAGATTTCCCCTTAGTGTTTTTTGTGAACTATAAATGCTATAGCTCTGCAGAAATGTTCAAAACATGAAGAGATTTTGTTGTTGCTGCCAAGGAAATCTGGCCCAAGAAATTTCCCCTCTTTAATTTTCTCTACAATAAAAAGTGACTTTTTGTTTCTCACACAAGACTATTTTTCCTTCAGATTTTTATTATATTTTCTAATGTAAAATCATTAAAATCAGAATGTCCCTTGTAATAAAATAGTTACTTTAAAAATATCTATTTGGGTTTTTTTTTTGTTCTTACATAGCAAGCTGGTTTATGATT